GGAAAAAAATTCAAACCCCACCACAAAAAAACCCCAAACAAACAAACAAAAACCAACCAACAAATGAAAAATCCCCCAAACCTGTGCTTTATCTACTCATCTCATTATGTTCTTGCTAGCTTAGTGCTGGAAAGGGAAAAATGAAACCATAACTCACAAGATGTTCATAAAGAAATGTAATGCCTTTTGAAGGGAATGGCAATATAGTTTTATTTCTGAGTTAGAACCACAGCTTGTAAGAATTTGCAGAAGGGCACTTACTGTCTGCCAGAACAGTTTTATTCTGAATGATGATTAGAAAAGCCCAGCACATCCATTAATATTATGGTTTATTAAAAAAATCTGAAAATGTGCAGTGGCATTAATGCTATTAATTTCTTTTTTATGAAGCTCTTTTGAAAAAAAAATAGTTTTTGAGGGCAGGAAAAATTCTGCAAGTTGCAGCCCTCCAGTCGCGAGTGTCTTTTGGTGCAAAAGGAATAGAGCAGGATACTGTCTGGGGCCCTTTTTAGGTGCAGTTACCTTGTGCTTTTATCTAAGCCTTTTTAAAAATTTTCATTGTAAGGCTGCAGTTATCTTGTGTATACCTAAAAATGTAGACAGGCAGGTTGTTCGGCTTAATAGTTTCGGTTATCTTATACTTTTTGGTGTGTGTAATCTAAACTGGTGATTCTGTTGGTTACTGCTAGCTGAGAAACTTCTTGAAAAAGAGTAACAAGGTAATCATTGCAAGCCATATGTAGTCACTAAAGATCAGAGATTCAAAGGAAAAGGAAATACTAGTTGAGAAGCTTGCACTTTTTCTATGCTGGCACCAGGCTGTCTATGCTGCAGCTTTTTTTTTATGGTAAGGCTGGCAGGAGGCACTCGCTCCACAATTATTTCTGAATGGAGTGTGGTGCAATAATATCTTGGAACGATCTCTGCTTTACCTTATCTGTTTTTAAAGGTTTTTTCCATTCACAAACCAAGTGCTCTAAAACTGTTATTAGCAAGTTGCTGAAACTGGAAAGCCATTTCAGGCTGTGAATGCTGGAAAGAGCACCAGCAGTGTTGGTGTTTCAAAGTGAAGTTCAGAGCATCCAAATATGACGAGGTGAGGAAGTCTTGCATGTACTTTTTTAATCTAACCATTTCCTGACAGTCATCTCCAACTGTAATAAGAAGTAACTATAGTGATTGGCTTGTTTACTGCTTTGTGATGCCTGTAGTACAGGTGCCTTCCAGCACAGTGCCCTTGAGTCTAATTGATTCCTTTAGCCCTTACTGTGGCCCTGGGGTTCTTGGTCTGGACCCCGTCTGCCTCTCCAGCCTGCAGTGGAGCACGAGCATGTCTCCTGAGTAGGTGTACTTGAGGACAGTGTTGTTGGCAGCTCTGCTGGTGGGTGACAGAAGGGGCAGGTCTGCCTGTGTTTTTCTTTCACTGGTGGAGTGGGTGAGTGATAAAGGGCAGGTCTGTCTGGCCTTTCTTCTTACCCATTCTTCTTCCCCTGTACTAAATGGTGGTGTTTCACTGGTGAAGCAGCTCCTGGAAGAGGATCCTTGTCCATTAGTGGGTTTTCTGGTAGGGATGTCACTTAGGGCAGCTGTCTGGAAAGCCTGGATCAGCATCTGACAGCCAGCATATGTGTCCCGCTGTCAAAAGTGAGGCTTCCCATCAGCTTCTCTACCATGGCCAGAAATGACCCAAAATGTCAGTAGAGGAGTGGGAGTTTGAGTGCAAGTACACACCAGGCAACTAAAGGAGTGTGCAGAATTGAAGTGGCACAGCTGTCTCAGCAGTGTCGAGTTGGCTGGGCTGATGCTGAGAGAGGGTTGGGTGGGCAGACACTTTTGGCACTTATTCTCCCAAAAACTAAGGAAATTAATTTTACTCTTCTCTGGCATACTGTAGGGAATTTCTGTTCAAGGAAACCAATATGTGAGTTCTAGAACAGAGGTAAAATTCTTTCATGGTTAAAAAAAATCCTGTGGAGATGGGTCCTACCCACTTACTTTTAATGGCCGTCACCAGCAACAGTTCTCTCATTTTGCTGAACTCAAGACTGGTTCTCACGTGTTCAAAGTTAAAATAATACAATGCAGAACACCTAGGAGTTAAAGATATCTTAGAAATACAAAACTTGCATTTGTTGTATTTCCAAGTTAAATTGCTAAACGGCTTAGGGTTTTTTTTATCCTGTGTAGATACCTACTTCTTATATTTAACTTTGACAAATGAACATGAACTATAAAAGGAGGTTAGTGTGTCTGCATTGTTAATTTTCCTTTTTTTCGAGACAATAGATCAGTGCTTTCATGAAATACCAAACTTGTAGGACACCTGAGTTCTCTGAAAAGTTGTATATGAATCTGGACTATTTTTGTATTAACTGGTCCCATTTAATCGCGTAAGAAAAAGGGCTCTAATAGTTTTTCAGATGCCAGTTGCAAGAGACATGGAAGGACAGCTTCTGGCTTTCAGGTGTGTAGTTGCAGAAAGCCGTGAAAGTTTAAAGCTGTGCTGCTGTACAGAGGTGCTGCAGCTAATTCTGTTTGTAGATGTTGTGGGTATGTCCTGTGACGTTTACCATGTGATAGTTAATTGTAGCAAGGCAGCTTAGCAGGCAGATTTTCTGCTACTCCAGTGTAAATGGTGTTTTTATCTGTGTATCTTCTCTGTAGAAATAATATTTAGATGGTTCTTCTGGGTTGAGTTTGTGTTGCTGCTGCAAGGGCAGGTGTTGAGCAACAATGCACAGGAAGCAATTGAAGCTCGTTGGGAGCACTGTTGAATTAAAGCAGAGGAAATGATGTAAATGAGCTTGTGTTTTTGAAACAGTGTGAAAATATAAAATACGAGCACAATTCTGAGTCTCTGGAATTGTATAGAGGGCTAAGTCATAAGTTTCTATGCAATAAAATCTGTCTCGTGAGAGTGTTTTTGGTGACAGCTTTCAGATGACTTCTGCTGTCTCTTAAAGGTTTCCCCAAGCAGGGGTGTCAAAAATGATGACACTTGTCAGCACTGTTGATACTACTCCCAGCCACAGGGGCAGCAGATGATTTGCACATCTTCCTGATGCTCTGGTAGAGTGAAAATTAAGACTGCTGAGTGATAGCAGTTTAGTCCATCTTTCATGTGATCTGGGATCTTCTGATAGAGATAGAGGTCTTCTGCAGAAGAGACGTACAATTTGTGAAGTAGGAGGGTGAGGTGTGGGTTGCAGTTGGTGCTGGCTGGACAGAAGCTGGTGTGACCGGTGTGCCTGTCTCTTCCTGGCATGGTCTGGAAGCAGTGCTCCAGTAAGATGTCTCTGCAGGGCAGATTTTACCCCCAGTGTTTTGGCAAAGGACATCCAGAATATTGTATTAGATTCTGCTATTAAGTGCTCCTAAGCATGTTTCTTTAAGTTGGATTCTCCCCCCATCAATTTCAGACATAATCCAGTAACTTTGAATTTTTTGCATTTAAGTCTTCAGAATTCCTCCTTAGTTGACTAAGGTCTTAAGCCTCTATCAGATGGAGAGGTGACAGTGTGATGGGGATTTAAGTTGACTGTCTGAAGGGACAAGAGAGGAGGGTGAAAAAAACTTTAAACCAGTGTTCAAATAGTGTAATGGAAGTTGTTGCCAGTAGGACCGTAAGATAAATGCAGCGCTTGTGACAAGTGTCTGTGATAACAACCTGTATGTCCCTGCTGTGAAGCAAAACAATTTAAAAAAATTAAAGGAAAAAAAAAAAGTTGTGGATACGAGCATGACAAAAAAACAGCACAAGGAATCTGCAAACACTTAGCAGAGGTTTGCAGAAACTCCTGACTTCTCTCCCCTCCAAACCATGTTGATCTCTTCCTTCAAGAAAAGAGGAGGAAAGATGTTTCAAGTGGTCCAAAGACTGACTTCAGGGACTTGAAAAACAAAACAAGAGAGGGGAAGCAGGATAGTGCAAAGTGTTGAGTGTTTGGTGTTTCTATTTTTTCATACTTGTGACTTTTTTAATGCAAGGCAAATATCAAGAGAGGTAGTTTGACAAACTGCTGGCTTCTCTGTTTTAGATGAAGCTTGGTATTGCTAGCCCTTCAGGAGTAAGGTAATGCTTAGTTATAATGTCAAATTGAAAAATTACAGATGACATAAGTGCTTTTAGCTGTGCTTCTGGAACGCACCAGATGTTTCTCAATCATTTGGCATCCAGCTTTCATGTCTGGTGAAATATTCGTGGCTGATTTGTTGTGCTGAAAGCAGAACCTGAACTAGTATGCTGATTTTTAGCCATTCTGAAAACATTTGTAGGTTGTGTTCCTCCTTCCAGCTGAGATCGTGGACTGAGGAATAGTGAAGGGAGCACAGCTTTGTAGACCACATGTGAACTTGAGCTAGCTGATTCAATTTATTTAAGAAAAACTTGACAGTGATTGATTTTTTTCAAGGTATCATTTTTTCAGGATTTCTGTATCAAGTAGTATTTTAAACTGGGTTTAGTTATTTTAAAACTAATAGGCCAAACTACCAGTTGGACAGAATGCACAGAAATGTCTTCCAGTGGTCACTTCAGGAGTCTTACTGCTCTTCAAACTTGCCACAAAGAGATTTTTTTGCAAATATTCCCTGGTCCAAGGTACCCTCCCCCCAAAATATTTGGCAATAAATCATAATTTCAGTGAGAATTTGCTGTGGTACTCAGTTGTCCAGTGAAACTTCTTTTTAATTCAATTTAAATCAGATGTTAATAGATCTTTGAAAGTCTTTTAAAGAAAGTTGGAGGCACTTGAGAATTTATGTTCTCTGTATTTTCACTTCAACTGCTACAGCTGCATCATAGTCTGGATTGTCACAGCCTTGAAAACATTATCACTCTTACCATAGTAAAATTACCAAAAAAAATGAAAAAAAAAAAAATTAATTCCTTCACAGGATTAAGTCTCAAACAGGTTTTTTTCAAATATTGGGTAATTAGTTAATTAGCTGGGCAATTCTTAGAAAGAATTCTAAGAATAGATAGGATAAGGATCCTCTGGATAAGGATTCTCTCTTCTTTTCATAGGGTAAAAAGAAAAGAAATCTCTGATAACCACCTACTGGGTACCTTGGGGGGCCTCAAAGGGAATCTGTTTTGCTCTACAGCATTTTCAGGTTTGCTTTACAGTATAAGGAAACTGGATCCTTACCTCCCACAGTGGGAAATCTTCCACTGGTTCCATGTATGAACTTGAATAACAATTATCCTTTAAAAACAGCACACGAGTTTTTACTTAGATTGGCATTTATATTTTCACTATGCTTAGGGTACAGTAACTATGTTATCTCAGTCTCCATACATAGAGAACTCGATGATAGATGTGAGAAAACAGAAGACAGCTTAATTCTGAGAACATACTTAGATGTGGAACTTAGGTGAAGCAGTTGCAAGACAGCCACATTATTCTCACCTCTTTGGCTTTGCCTGTTAACCAAACCATAGTGGACAATTGCAGTCATTCTTAGTGTTTGTTTTTAATGAACAGAACATGGCATCAGTGAAAATGTAGGTATTCTGTGCCCAAGCTGGGATCACCAGTTACCTTTTAGTGTTCTATTTCATTTGCTGGAGCATGTTCATCTCATATGGGGGAAATATTTAGCAGGAGCCTTTTAAGTTTTTAGACACTTTGGATGTCTAAAGAATATTTCACCTTTTCTTGTTCCCTTTGATTCAAGGTGATGCTTTCTAAGTGTAACTGGTTTTTCTGTCCTTCTAAAGCAGGCTGTTTTCCTGTGCAAAAAAGCCCTACTACAGCATTGCCTTTTGGAAGACTGCTGGCCATCATAAGTTTAATTTCTGCCTCTTGCTGCAGCGGTTGCTCTGTCATAGTGAAAGGACAAGAGCAACATTTTGCAGCATGTGCTCTGACGGAGACTATTGTGCATCCTTGAAGATAAGCAACAGTTGCTGTAAGAACTGGGATTTCGTCTTGCTTAAGCTGTCCTCCACAGCAGACCTTTTGCCCTGGGTTGGGTGTGCAGTGTTACAAGTGCTGTTTGGAGGTTCTGCCACCCCTCAGTGAGCAGACCTGAGTGCTGCCATCAGCTGGGTGCGGTTGCTCAGGTGTTGTGCCCTGGACTGGGAACCACCTCGCTCCCACGTTAGTTGCCCATATAATTTATGCAGTCCCTCATGGAGACTGTGTTGTTAATAAGGGCTTAACAAAGCATGTGGTAAAAGTAGGCTGGGTTCTTGCCTAATGCTCGTGTGAAAAACAGCATTACTTACAAGATGTTAGGAATACTAGGAGAAAGAGCTTCCCTGATAATTGTACTGAAGTAGCTACTTGTACTTCTGTTCCCAGTTCTAAGTTGAACTTTAACGACCAACAGAGTAGGTACAATAAGCGTAGTCGTGTAATACTGCTGTTCCTTCAATTCCCTTTCAATAAGAGGAAGAAGACATGCTTCTCCAAATGTAGAGTTTGTGGTTTTCTTGCCAAATTTAAAAAGAGGAATAGCACCTTCAGCAGTGCAGAAACCCACAAGCTAAATAACTGTAGGAAAATGTGTGTAAAATAGAAAAATTATTTATCGTGTGGAAGCTGAAGGTAGTGAGCCTTTCATGGTAGCTATTCAATAGAATTTTAAAACAAGCAAGCAAGCAAACAGAACTACTTCAGCTGGTCCTACCTAGGACATTTTAGGTAGCTTTTCTTGCCAAGAAGATGTCTCTCTTCATACAAACAGTAAAGTGACTGTGAGTTGACTTTTATTTCCTGGCCTTATCTGAAATGGGATAATACTGACCAGTGTAGTTCAGGTGTAGCCGTTTGGGTTTCAAGTTCCAATTTCAATTCAGCAGTTTCCAGACAAATGGACTTGCTCTGGTTTCGCTGAAGCCAAAGCAGGGCTCCTATTCATAAGCTCATTGCTTACTTTGGATTAGGTATAAAGTAAATAATGTGAATAATGCTGTTCTTTCAATTGTCCACTTAACTGTGTAATGGATTTAGTTTTGTTTAGGAACAACAAATGCCAAGACAAGTGATAACTTGCTTGCTTTTCTCACTTATAGGAGATAAAACTGCTTCAGCAAAAGGTCGGGTTTTTTCCTTGTTATTTCACAGTAGATTATTAAAGAATTGTGTTTAAACCGTTTCAGTAGAGTTAATGTTTCCTTCATTTGAGGATGACAGCATGACTGCTTTTTTCAGGGATTGTCATGGCAAAAATACCATCACTTCTAGGTTGTTGGATACCACCTTCTGTTTGCTTTCTCTGAGAGCAGAAACAATAAACCCCATATTCTTTCCTATTCTGTCAGCTTGGCATGCTGATGTATTGTTTGGTCACGCACATAGGGTGGGGAAGGAATGTGGTGCAGGAGCGGGATGGATCCTTCACACAGCCCTGATGGTCTGTGTTGCTGTTGTAAAACCACATTCCAGGGAACCTGAAACTGAGGCAGAAATTGCAAGAGAGGGTTTGGGAAGGCTGTAAAGAGTGAGACCTGCTTGATTGTTTTTCATAGGCCAAGCCTAGACAGACTTGATTTTTAGGATGATTGAACACCACTGTTAGAATTAAACCCTACTCTTTTCTATGTTTCTGTGTTTTCAAGGGTACTATAAAGTGTGTTGCTTCAGTTGCATCTCCTGAAAAGCTGTAATTAATTAACAGAATCTGGTCCTTGGAAAAGGCAGGATTTATTATTGATTAAATCTCTTCCTAGTATAGAGAATTAGTTGATTGATTGTATGAAACAAGGGAGATAAGAAACGCTGTATATCTTCCCCGGTATACTGGAGTCTCTAATGTGACAGTGGAAACTTGTGGAGGTTTGGTCTTAATTTTATTTTGGAGCACAGCATTTCTGCTGACAAACCCAGTGTTGCTTTTTGTAAAATAAGCCATTTGCATGAGGAATATTATTTTTGAGTAACAAATCCTGTGATTGTTGTACCCATCACTGAAGTAACTTTTTCCTGTGGTTCCCATGCCTAAACTACTTGTTCCCGCTGTACTATGAGTACTACTATGGTCCCTGTGCCAAAGGCATAAGTTTTATTCCTTCCCATTTAGGAATTAAACAAATGTCTGAAGTTGCCTATTGCTGATATGCTTGAGCACTTTATAATTCATCACGGGCTGTTCATAATGTGTACAGTTCACCACTGTGTGGTGGGTTTTTTTCCCCACGTCCTTAATTAAAAATGGAGTGAGATGATCAGTGTGCAGTCATCGTTGTCCCCCTGCCCCCCCGTGGGACTCTGGCTTTGGCAGTGTTCACCAGTGGGAGTTTCTAACAAAGAAAGCAGAGGGAGACACAAAAGCCCCAAAGTGAGTGAATAGGAGCAGTGCTAACCTGCTAGCTCAGCATTCCCCTGCTGTTGGCTGCTGAGCAGCCAGGTGGGGCTGGGTGCAGTGACAAACACAGCTGCCTCTCTGATGCTGCTTGGAGTCTGCTGTGTGACTGACAGACATGTGCACAATGCATTTTTCGTTTTCATCAACCAAGTGGAGCTGATAAGATTACAAGAACTAAGGATCACAGATTTTGGGGTTGAGTTAGATGTGATGGAGAGCTGATTCTGACTCCTAGTCTCCCCAGACAGCTGTCTCATTGTTTTGGGTCTTATTTAACTCTTGGGCTTCTGGTTTAGAGCTGCAGTGGCTGGAAGAATAACTTTCTGCAGAAGTTGCTCTGACCTGTTGCAGAGTGCTGACATGTGCTCTTGCAGGTTTGGTCCTATACAGTATTGACTGTGTGAGCATGCCAAGGTACTATGCCATAGAATGGGAATGCTGGGAAGATACAAAGGAGGACATGAGGACATTGATGAAAATCATAAGAGGTAGCTGGAAGAAAAGTTCACTTTAGTGTCAAACAGGTAACGTGAGTAGCAAAGTTGAAGTTCAGCGCTTACCAACTAAACTGGTATGTTGTGATAAATTGGAACATTGTGTTGTGTTGTAAACTTTAAAAAGCTTGAAAATGAGCTGCTGCATGTGCCTGATATTGTGGGCAGTGGTTGCAATGTGTATAAGCACAAAATTCAAATTCTTCAGAATTTAATAATAAACTGGTAAGGTCTAAAATATTTTGTGATTATTTTCATTTTTCTGCTGGTTTTATTGAATGCAGGTTATCTTTCCATAAATGGATTGTGGCTTTCAGCTTTTCTCCTGTCCAGCAGTGCATGTGTGTGTACATGTGTGCTTGTGAGGTAGAGCTGTGGCTGAAAGTAAATCAGATGGCAGAATTGTGATAAAAAGATGTTTTTTACAGTCAGTCCAGTGAGGGCGAGATTCTAGAGTAAAGAGTAGTTCTCTATGGAAGGTGAGAACTTTGGCCCTTAATTCTGCTTGTGGATATGTTTTTCTCTTTGCTTTTCTTCCCAACAGCTAAAAAATCTGACTTTGGTGCTTGTTTGACTAGAACTGTATAATAAAATCCTGAAAAATTTCTTTGTCTCTTCTCAGGCTATATCTCAGCAGACTGTCTAAGCAGAGATGATGTGTTTCTGTGTATTTAAGGTATGGTTTGAGGTTTCTCACTCTAGGGTTTATGCAAAGATTGTCTGCGAGAGCAGACGCCCCACTTGCTTTGTGTTGGTTTCAGCAAGTGAGAAAATAACCGTGTGCTGTGTTTCTCCAACATTCATAAGCTATTCTGTTTTCAGTGACACTCTTCTTCAGAATAAGAAGGGAATGTTCAAGGGATGAGGTTAGACCTTGTGTTTTCATTGTATAACTTGCCAAGAAGAGAAGAATGTGTGTGTGGAGGAGGCTTAAGACAGTGAATATCTGTGGCATCTGGGTGAAATTATGAACAATAAAATAACTATCAGCTGGAATTTCATAAGCAGCTAAACAATGACCATCTAGGGCATGCTGAGTGAAAAGGACATGTCTAAAGTAAAGCATGCTCACACAAGGAATGTCCATACAGTCTGGCATGAAGCCAAGTGCATACTGAATTAGGTCACTGCTTTAAGTGTGAATGTTTCCCCTCTTTAGAAAGATGTACGCATCCTTTGCAACAAGGAACCAAAACAGAATGCTAATACAATAAAAAAAAAAATTTAAAAGCATTTTCACTTAGCATGCTGGTCTATTCCCTTGTGCTTAGAGAATCAATGAGCTCTTTTGTAAGGAACAGAAACATTTCCATAGTTGAATATACATAAGGCCCTGGAAATCCAGAAAGAATTAACAACCAGTTGCCTCTGCAAAGCTTGCAGATCTTTATAAGCATTGTATAAGCCTGAGATGTCTCATTCTTCGGAGATCATAGAAGCTACTACAAATATACTTGTTCTGAAGAATTGAAATAAAGTGAAATATCATCATGTGCAATTTAAAATTTTTGAACTTAATCTTTCAACACTTAAATTCCGGGGACTTCTGCATGATTACTTATTTCCAGGTAATGTTATTGCTCTTTTTTGTAAACTTCAGAATGTACCATGTAACACAGTTAATTTCCCTGTTGGGATTCTTGGGATCCCATGTGCTTTTGCTCGTTCTGGGGTTTCACAGCCTGTTTATTCTTGGGATCCTGTGTGCTTTTGCTCATTCTGGGGTTTCACAGCCTGTTTTTTCTTGTAATCCTATTCTACAGCCTGGGAGTAGTTACTGGAATTCCTAAAATAGTGCTGTGCCAGACCTAATTCATGTCAAATTTGGGTTGTAAATATGCAAAAATAAGGCTTTTTCTGAAAAGAAAGGCTATCGAAATAGAGTTCTCATAAACCCTCCTTTTCTGATAAGAGGGAATATTCTTGCTGGCTTCACTCACTACTTGGAGTATGCAAGATGAAATCTGTGTCTGACTCCTTTATGATGACTCTTCTCAGCAGAAGTAATACTGAAGGGAAAAAAAAAGTTGTCCAAATTGGCTCAGTCCCCACAGCTGTAGCAAGCTAGCTTACCCACTCAGCTCTCCATGTGCAATTTGAAATTTTAATATTCAACGTAAGTGGTTGCACGAACATTCCTTGCCTTTAAAGGCCGCTGGGAAGCTGTAGCAGGAAAAATGCCTGTTCTTTAGGGTGTTGCATGAAAATGGTCAAACATAAATAAGCAATGACTATCTCTGTGTAAAAAGGCTGTCTGGTTAATCAGATTGTCACTAGCCCTCTAGATAAAGGGTTTCTGCTAATGAAGGAATAATTAGAGCCTAGAAGGAAAAGGACCAGTGAGCTGTTTACAGCCCACCATGTGTAGTTCTTAATGCTTCAGAAAGGGCTTATTGTATCTCTTCCCCAAGCACCCCTCTACCAAACAGCCCTGTAATGTAAACAGGTGAAGTGCCAGTGGGAAGGCTCAGAAATGTGCAGATATTCCTAAGCTTTTGTTCTTGCGTTGGTGATGCGGAGCCAGCGGTGAGTCCCCGTGGAGGCGTTTTGACTTCCTTAATCCATGCTTACCATGATAATGTGTGTTCGGCCACAGTTAATAAAGTTATGAAGAACAGAGTTATTCCCTTGCTGCCCCTTCTTTTGCCTGAGGGAATCTTAATCTCCTGGTACATTGTGTTCTCTTGACACCACGGCAGGAGATCTGTTGTCACTTGCTTCTAAGACATGAATGAGACCTAAAGAAATTTAGTGACTCATCGAAGTTGAACATAGGGCAATTTATTGGTAGAGCAAGAACTGAATACAAAGGCCAGGGAGACTAATGTCCCAACTGCAGGGGTATCTATTTATCGGTTAACAACAGTTAAAATAGTTGGAATGAGATTTATTGATGTTTCATGTAAGTCAGGTGGTTTGATCACTTTTCCATATGCCTTTACTGATTGAAGATGTGCCAGCTTCTGCATGGAATGGGTTTAGTACAGTCTAGCATTTATCGAGGTTTAAAGAAAGTTATGATTCTTTATGCTATTAATTGTGGCTTCACCTCTTGCAGTCTAACAGAACAAGAATTCAGTAAGAAATGTAAAAAACCATCATGTAGTCATCTTTCTACTAAAGAAATCTTGGGGTGATATTGCGGGATTTCTGTGAACTGGCTTTATCCTGTAGATTGTTGTTTCTTCTGTCTCCCTTGATTCACCACATCTGGATGGTGGTCAGTAGTCGGAGGATACATCTGGTGTTGATCACTCTTTATGGGTACTTAATTTGCATTTATATAATGTTGTGTTTGTGCAATAAGGAGTGACTAACTTCAGCCTTGTTTTTACTTGGAATGATGTTATCTAGTATTCAGTTGATAAGACTGTTATTTATTTTCTATCGAAGTTTCTAGTGGTTTTTCTGTGAGTTCAAAAAGCATCAGTTTCAGGTAACTACTGCCTTTAAGCTGCTGTATTAAGAATTCCTATGTAATCTATCGAAATTATTCATTAAAAGAGACTTTAGCACTAGAGATACTTACAAATGCTTTAAGCAGTCCTGTAGACTTGAGCTGAACAACTCCAAGGTTCAGCTGTTGCCAAACTTAGTGTGCCTGACATGCCTGCAAACTTAGGGTCAGCTATCACAGACATTGCTGTTGGTGGTATGAATAAATCACTTAATCTTTCAGGGCTTGTAATTGAAGCTTTCTTGCAAATGAGGATACTGAATATCATGATACCACTGATCGGGGTACCCGATTCTCACTAAAGCCGTATCCTGATGCTGGAAGCCAAAGGGAGAGGAGAAGAGTCACAAAGACATAACTGGGGAGCCACACTGCAAGGTGTTTGTTGTAAACACATGGAGTGCATCGTGGCATCCTGACTGACTTGCAAGGTCAGAGGAAGACAGGCTTTGTGGCTGCTGGCAGTGCTAGATAAGTCTGTCCAACCCATATATAAGGAGTATTGGAGTGGGTAATTTTTTTCTAGTCTCATAAGTGTACTGAAACTAAACAGGAAGTCTCAGAACTTCCCCCAAACTGTAACTGCATAACACAGCTGAAATGGATGTATAGCCCTAGATATATTTTAATGAGTTTCACTTATTTTATACAAGCAAATTTTAACTGAAAGTATTTTATTAATGTTAGAAAGTAAACTAACATGCATTGAGCCTACTTCTTGGCTTTTTATGCTGTCATTGAAGAGGCCCATTAAATGTTTAGCTGACTGTCATTGCTGAGTAGGATTTTTGATATCCCCCTCTTGCATAACTCTGGTCTCTTTCTCTGGTCTTTTTCTCCAGGCTGGTTTGGTCAGTGGTGTAAGAGTGCAAGTAGTTAATGCCTCTTCGCACTAGTCTAGCTATATCAAAAGATGGAAATGTTAATGAATGGATAATATGAGGCTCCCTTTCATCAATCAGGAATAGGGGTTTGAATTTTAATTTCTGTTGAATTTGACTTAATCTGAAATGCTGTTTCTGTAAGCTTTGATATTTAAATCTACAATTCATGAGTGAATAGTTACACCCTGAAAGATATTTACTTTAAGTAAAAGCAAAAGAAATTGCAAGCTTCTGCTGCTTCAAAAATAGTTCTTGGAGATTTTTTTTTTTTGAGTTTAGAGGAGTAGGAAGGACATGGAGTGGGTTTGTTGGTGGTTTTTTCCCTGCCACAGAGTAAAACAAAACAAAAGAACTAAGAAGGAATGGGAGAATTAAAACAAAACATGATGAAAGTGGAATAACCTTTACTGCTTTACCTAGCTATGTGACAAATGCATTTCATTATACTGTCCATATTATTATTTTCCAGACACTATGTCAAAGGGAGTCACTTACGGGTAATGTAAAGGAAAAAGTAATGTTTTCTTTCTCATTTTTCTCACCCCTTCCACCAGCAGTCCTTTGCATCTATCCATGCGTTCCAACTTTGTTCGTGTGTTTTCCAAATGACTGCCTGCTATGTAGTTCTAATATGCACCTTTCTTTTAATTCTAGGTTCTGTCTTCATTTCGCTGATTCAAACCACATATTCCAAGGAAAGGAGGGGAAGTGGAATAAAGTACTCAAGTGCCAGAGGAGAAGCAAGACTAGCCAATGAAAATCACTGTTACTGAACTGCAGACTGCTCTCACACATAGTGGGGGAAAAAAATTGCTGTCTGTTCAAAGCCTGTAAAATTACTTTTGCAGACTTTCCTCAAAGAACTTGAAATAGGCTAAACTCCTTCAAATAGGACTGAATTAGGAAATGGAAATATGACTCCTTGCTGGTGTCTTCCATCTTCCTCCCTTTTTGCAGGTTTTTTTTGTTTGGGGTAGGAAATCCTGAGCAAACTGTATGGCGTCAACCAGGCTTACAGTTGATGGTTATGGATGACATAGGAACTTCAGATTTACATCTCTGCAATGACACCTGATTAAGGCAAAGGTTGAAAACTGCTCATCAGCTATGTTACCAGAACTTGTAGTAGCTATTGCAGTTGTACTTTCCTTCTCTTTCTAAGATTTGATGTCTGGGGTGATGTTCCCTGGAAAGCGTGAGCAAATAAGTCATCTTTTAGGATTGGAAACAGAAATAATATAAGAATGCCCAGAAGAGGCTTAGTAATTCAAGCCAGGACTCGTTGGCTCTTAGTGGGCATTGCTTTACTGTTCAGTTTAGTCTTGCTCATGTATTTGCTCGAGTGTGCTCCGCAAACGGATGGTAATGGATCTTTACCTGGTGTTGTAGGTGAAAACATGGGTAAAGAATATTACCAAGCTCTCTTGCAGGAACAAGAAGAGCATTATCAAAACCGAGCTACCAGTCTGAAACGTCAGATCGCCCAGTTAAAGCAAGAGCTTCAGGAAATGAGTGATAAATTGAAGTCCCTGCAGGAAAAAAAGAGCCCAAAGGTCAATGGTATGAACTACCAGGGCACCAAAGAACAAACATCCAATGATCTCCTAGAGTTTCTTCATTCCCAGATTGACAAAGCTGAGGTGAGCATGGGGGCCAAACTGCCTAGTGAATATGGCGTCATTCCTTTTGAAAGCTTTACATCCATGAAAGTGTTCCAGTTGGAAATGGGGCTCACTCGGCATCCAGAAGAGAAACCCGTTAGAAAGGATAAACGAGATGAATTGGTGGAAGTTATTGAGGCTGGCCTAGAAGTTATCAATAATCCAGATGAAGAAGATGGACAAGATGAAGACGATGGAGTAGGAGAGAGGCAGCTGTATGGTGAAAATGATTTTATAGAAGGTATGTTTATTACATACTTTCCAGCCTGTTAACAGAATGTCACAACAGGCATCTAATGGTGTTTTTACTTCTGGATTTTTTACCTACTTTAATGGAGTCTTGAACAGTAATTACACAGTAAGAACCATTATTTCTAATGATGGGAATACTATTGCTTCATTGTATTGTGTTTTGAGTAGGGAGTAAGAAATGCATTTCAGGAGAAGGGCTCACCTCAAGAATTGTGCAGGGGAAGCTGTATCTGTTTAAAATGATGAGGTATTAATAGATTGTAGCTAAAGTCAGTGTGACACAACTGCTTATGGTATTAAATAACCTGAGAGTTCCAGTGAAACTGGTGTCAGCGAGAGGGAGAAATTGCTTCTTGTTTCAGAGTATTTAAGCAATCTAATATGAAGCTACAGGGTTTTTCTTCACTCATCTCTATGCCACTTCTAGTTAATATTCAGGCTTTTGACTCTCTTAAGAGGGTTGGCATACTCATTGGAGAGAGAGCATTGAAAGGCTAATGTGTTCTGGTCATGTCAGCTGAAGAACTTGTGTGTCCTGAATAGACCTTTCATGGTATACCAGTTTTGGGCTCCATTAAGTTTTGCAGTCTTGAAGTGTTTTCTTGCTCTCTCTTCAGTTTTGTCTCAGTGCTTCTAAGTCTGATAACAGAACACATACTATGAAAGCATATGTAGCAGTTAAGCTTTCAACCCTTAAAAGGTTCATTAGTGACAAATCCCGTAGAAGGTCTCTGTCAAGGTACAGTCTCGTGCTGATGGAGATAGGCATTACCAAAGAATGCCCTAGTACCTGTTCTTTATACTTATGGTATTAAATGCAGTTCATGCTGCCATAAAATAACCAAAGGTGGACCATGTTAAAAGACCATTAGTGTAAAATGGACTCTGGATCTCAGCAGTGCTGATGTCTGTGCTGTTTAGCAAACGTTGGACAAAGGTACTGTTGGCCTTGAAATAATTGGTTCTTTCAGTCTCGGATGATGTAATCGGTCTGTAGTGCAAAAAGTCTCTGCTTTTAACAGCTACTGTGTTTAAGTTTTCTGCAAGTACTGTTGTTCATTCCAAAAGGTGGGACAGGGTGTGGAGTCCTCTCAGCTGGGTCTGTGTAACACAGCCAGCACAGTGTCAGGCTCTTAGTAGAGTTCTCATTTAAACCCATATTTTTTGTCTGGAGGTAGTAGTTCTTGAAGTCTTTTAATTGCTTTATTTCTGCATTAAGTACTCAGCTGCTTTTTTAGATAATGCTTATATTCTAGTGGATTTTTATTTTACCATGACTGAAATGGCTGTTGATTTTCTAGTGTACTGCCTTTATTGACAGACCTTCAAGAAAACAAGTAGCTTTAGGGCCTTAGAACTATATACCTCTGCCTCTGTTCTCACCAGTATATTAATGATTGTTTCTGGAAATCAAACTGATTTTCTTTTGCTGTAAAGACAGTCACTTCAAACACAGAGTTACAGGAACTATAGGGAAAGAAAAGTATTCTATGCTGTATGTGGGTGTGTTAGCAACTAACCATAGTGATACCTATATCTATTGGTATCTTTTTTTCAGACAGAAGTTGTGGGTTGCGTGGGCATTCTGTGGTTTTTTAATGTGCAAATACTACTGGCTAACTTAGCCAGCAAAAACAAGGCTGCTTCTGAATATTAACACCTTTCCCCCCACCCCCCTTGTTGTTCCAAAACCTGTGGGTGAGAAATGGAATCAGTCAATAGTGGTACCTGCAGGTCCCTTGCCCTGCCACCCTGTGGGTGGGCTCTGGCACTCCACCTCCATTGTCAATTTGTTCATCCCTGTTTCATGGAAGTCCATTGGAAAGTTGATGCCTTTCTATTTAGAAAATATTGCTCCCTTAAGCTGTCATAAATGGGTAGGTTTAAGTTTTATAATAAGCTTGGTGTATCTACTGAAGTCAGAACAGGTCCTGTAGCTGTCCTAAGAGCACATCTAAATTTTTGCTGGATTAGCATTGCTCCTTTAGAGAAATAGTTTTTTAAAGTTGTCTTCAGTGAAAATAGATAAGTTCTGTGTCCTCTTCAGTTGGTAATAGATTATTTTGTAATAAGTGGTTTGGGACTAAAACTAGAGTATTGTGTGTTTGAAGCCTGGAGGCTGAGAAACTTGGTGTGCAGATTTATTTGTTTCTTGGTTCTGGGACAAAAGGAAAAACATGATCCTGCATTAGTTAATACATAACCATCATATTTTATGCTCAGTATAGATAAACTGATTTTGGTTTGTTCTGGCTTATAGGATTTTTTTTCTCAGAACTAATACATACATATCTACCAAAACTGTGCCATAAGTACAAGCTAAATGAGAAACACGTATTTTTATTCTAGAAGTGTTGTAGCTTCTTACCTCAACAGGCTAAATTTTCATGCAGGTAAAAGTTTGCTTCTGGGATTTATGTCAGCTTTTTTCCTAGACTTGTGAAACAGTTAGACTAAACTTTGAACTATGTAATCTTCTGTGATATGTACTTTCAGGTACTCTCTACTTTACAGAATTTGGTGACTGTTTAAATTTAGAGTATCTTTTCTTAAAGACGGTTTTACCTAATGGTATCTTTTAATCTCTACTGAATATGTCTGCAGTTCTTCCCCAGTATTTATGTTGCCTCTGCCCAGTCAGTAAAGTAGCACTCACTTCATTTGAAAAAGCGTCAAGAACTTTTTTTCTTACTGTGTTTTAGGATTCATCTATATTGGAGTAACTGGAGACAACAAATATGAAGAACTTGAATTTAAAATGAATCTGCCTCCTATTTTATAAATGGAAACTTCCGAAACAAACTTTTTTCTGAAAAAATAGACTTAATTAATCAATAATACCCATGGTAGTCTGAATCGACTGATTTTTATTACTCTAACACTGTGCACTGTGTAGGCCAAAAAACTTCAAAATACATGCTGGCTAACTTTGTTGTCACTCTGTATTTTTGCTCTTTGTCCTTAAATTAACTGTTCGTGCAACATCTTTGCTGCATGCTGAGCTTTTGTGGTCTCCACATTAAGATGTTCTGTCTTCTACCACTGTTGAAGGGAAGCTCTATGTGTGATAGGGAGCAATCTGTTCAAGTGTTTTCCAAACTGATGTTATTTTTTTAGTTGCAAGGCAAAGTGATGACCCAAATCTGTATTGCAGTTGTTATTAGGCAGAGCTGCCACAGCCACATCATGGCTATTGGTGAGCAATAACACCAGGAAAAAAGAAAAGACTTCTAAGTATACATTGCAACTACAAAGATATTTTCTGAAAGCTCCAAATTATTCTTCACAGAGCTCAATTGTCTTGCTTTGCTGATGAAGAGAAAAACAGCAAGTTTCTTCTGTTTGCTGCATCATCACCTGTTTTGCTTTGCTGCAACCCATAATGAAACTTCCAGAATTCTAATATTAGCAGAACAAAAATCTGACCTGAAAAAGGTCTTATTTTGTGGTTGCTGTTTGAGAAACACTTTGAAGTTGTTGTTTTTCTTAGTATTTCCATTAGATCTAAATGTATGAAAAACAGAAGTATTCTGTTCCCCGTGGATGAAGAGTATCCCTAGAGAGGATAAAAGATGCAATTTTACATATTTTCAAAAATGGATGGATTTAGGATTACAAACAATGAACCTAATTGCTGAACTGCACACTCAAAGATAGTCCTTGATTAAAAATAGATTTTTTTTTTTGAGATCAGTATTTGATAACATTGAGAACTGTAGGGTAATTAAGATGAGAGGACCATAATAGTATTACCTCTATCTGTTCCCTTTCTCCAGAACCCTGTGACATTGTCTTTAATAGTGATACAGAACTCACTGAGGAGCCTTCATGGACATCTGTACTTCACTATCAGTGTAATTGGTTTATTTGGGTTACGTTTATCAGGGTAACTGTTTTACTTTATTAAGAGATTAAGAAGCGCTTCCATTTAAATTAACCTTTGGAAAACAGAAGCATTAGCATATTTTCAGAAGCTACTTATCAATTAGCTAACGTCTAATAAAGGTCTTGTTATTGGATGTTTAGCAGTGCTGCCGTTTGGGTCCATTTCTCTTGCTTCTGTGTTTCCATTTGGAACTAGGCAAAGGCCAGAAACTTTTTCTTTAGGTCTGAATCTAAAGAGACGACTTCCCACCCATCCTTGGCGTGGAAAAATTCTTTATTCCCATGCTGCAAGCTTGAAGTCAAAACTCTTCCAAAGTCCTTGACACCCACAGAACAGTCTGGACTGTTTGTCATGCACACACCCCCTCTAGTGTGTGCTGCATAAGACCAGAAACTGGCCAGTGTCCTGGGAACTTCAGTGGAGAATTTTAATACACACCAACAAAGAGATAGGTCTTCAATTCATAGACCAAACACCTTCTTCAAGGCAATAGAAGAACAACTTTTTGGCTTTGGTAGTAACTGATACCCAGTATTCATATGTTTAATTTGTTTGGTGAGAAACAGAACTTCTGCAAAGGGATGTAAAACTTCATGGACCAGGAATAGCAGCTGTTAAATTATTTCTGCTGCTCTTTCAGTCTTTACTTATGGAGTTCTATTTTGGATGGCAGCCAGTGTATGCTAGTTGGAAGGTGAGATAACAGGTTTTATTACATGAGTCAGTCCCAGGTGTTAAAAACCTGAATATGCTAAGAGGTAAACCAGATGTGAGTTCTTTTTCTGGCTGTTCTCAATTCTGGTTTACATGTATAGAAGCTTTAATTCCACAGAAGTATTCATAGAAGATTACCAACAGAGGTTAGCTCATAGCAAGGAGAATTACTATTTAAAAGAAGTGTGGTGCTAGTGGCATGTTGAGATTAAAAAGTTTATAATCTCATATTCCAACAATTGAATGTTGCAAATTCGAATTTGCATATTAAGGTCCTTATGAAGTTACAGCAGCATTTTTTTAATGTCTAATATAGAAATTTTTATTCTGTATTACAGCATTCTATTCTAGGCTGACATCTAAGCTTATCCTTTGATTAAAGATAAGCTTTTGGCAGACGACATGCTTTTTAAAAACTTCACTTATGTTGTAAATGGCATTTTTATCTGTAAACAGCTATTGGATACTATAGAAAAGAATTTAATATACAATACTGAATGTTAATTTACATAGGAGTACTGGTGCAAAGTATTTGCTGAATATTACATGAGAGCACAATGTTCAAGCATTGTGGTGCATCAGCTGTTCCAATAACCAGGATGCTGTTTTCATGCTTCAGTGCTGGTCTACTCAGCACAGAGGGTTGAAGTGGAAAAGGATTGATGGGGATTGAAAATCTTTCTGACTTTCATTGTTTGAAACATGGTTTTCAGGACTTGTAATTAATACTGATTTGAAACTGAGCATTAGAATGTGGTGCATACTTAATGCAGCTCTGTGTTGACAAAAGTATAAATGGATTTCTGTCTCTTCAAAGAGAGCATTGCAGGACTTTGTTCCAAGGGTAAAAAGCATCTCTGTCAAAAAGTTAGATTTAGTCACCATTAACTTCCAGTGAGATGGCACCAACTTGTTCTGCTACACCCTGTCTCCCAACAGACCCTCTGTGGTGCTCATCCACGTTTCCCAGGTCTGCCAGTGCACGTGCTTGTCCACAAGGAGTGGATTATGGAGCTGAGTATTGGAGGGGAATAAGGATCTTGATGTAAAAGAGAGGCTGTTTGACATAAGGAGGAGATATCAGTGAACAAAACTGGGTTTGCTTCGGGGGTGGACACAGGAGCAGAGGAACACAGAGGGAGTTAGGTAGATTTAGGGAAAGGACTCTTTGTAAAGGGAACCTGGGATACAGAGAAAAAAAGTTAGGGCAAGGTGGTATGCGCACTGCTTTGCTTCTTGTATTGAATGAGAAGGTAATGTCAGGCAGAGAATACTTGTTTGAGGATAGGGAGAGATACAAAATTCTGTCATCAGTTCTTTCTAGTTCCCAAGACAGTCAAAACCAAGCTGCTCCAAGTTGGAGGGCTGTTACCTTCAGATACCCATGTTGATTTCAGTTGAAAAAAACAACAACAACAAAGGCAATATCAATACTGAGCAGGAAAGAGAGCCCTTTGTATCACCAGCATGGCTCATCTATTCTTTGCCCCATCACCACCTGCTTTCTGGGTGTGGGGCTGGAGGATTTCAGCTGCTGTGAAGGCTGACTTGTAGAAGGGACAGTTCAGGCCAGCCAAGTGAATAGAAATTCACTGGTTACATCATGTAAGGGCAGAGGTATTTTTTGCACTTGGGGGTCTTCATAACTTTCTCAATTTTCTGTGTGGCCACTTCAACTGGTATTTGTTTGGTTCATAGTGTAGCTCGTGGCTCTTCTTTATAATACAGCTTTTCTTTGCTGGTGAGAGAGGAGAGCAGAGGTGGGATCAACATAGGGCAGTTTTGTTGAAGGATTCTTCCTGTCATCATTTCAGGGTAGTATAGATGTGGAATTAGCAACACAGAGCTTAGTTTAGTCAAAACCACAGATGAACATTGGTCTTTTCCTTTGTGGTGTAAAATTAGAGAGGCTATTGGTTAATTTGCTTCCTTAATGGTCCTTAAATGAAAGGACCGTGTTCTGCATGGGACAGACTTTTCCTACCCATCAGGAGTAAAATATCTCTCAACAGATAGTTCTGTTTCTGGAGGACTAGCATTGTTTTCTAAGCATTACAGCCACATAGAAAACTTATGCCTATGTCCTTAGAGGACCGTGGCTGTATTAAAGCACCAACTTATTTATCAGATGGAAAGCACTAGCTAGTGGTCAGCAGTGAAAACAATTTTAAAGCATTCCAGCATTATTACACAAATTTTTTTTTTTTTTTTTTTGATACCACATGTCAGATTTTGCAGGCTTTGTCAAGCGAGTTATTGTCATTTGTTCTGCCCTCAGCTTGTGTTGTGTTGATTGCTGGCCAGATGATCTCAGCTTTTACTGTGGTCTAGCTCAGGGCAAGATTTTTACTGAAGGGCTTAAGAGCAGGCAATATTAGATTTCAGCCATCCTTTTCCATAGCAAATAGCTGAATTCCCTTTTTTTGGGAAGGCCCAACTCTAATTCTGCATAGAAAGTTGGCATAGGACCATAAAACCTGTTGTATCTAAGAAGCAGGGGAAGCTGGAGTTTGTTTGAGGTTGTTTCTCAGATCTGATCTAAAAGGTAGAAGGGTGATTGTGATTGATAATGGTTTGTATACTTTTTATTTTTTTGTTTTTAGGAGAAACCCAGAAGCTTTGCCCCTACTTCTTCAGCTCTTAGGAAAATTCAGTATTTTTGAAATACAATTGCTGGGATCTTTGACTGTACAAATTACTTGTGTGACTTATTCTTCAGGTTACTATCGTACAGAAAGAGATAAGGGGACACAGTATGAGCTGTTTTATAAGAAGATGGATGGCATGGAGTACAGGCATGTCACCTTGTTCCGACCTTTTGGACCCCTCATGAAAGTGAAGAGTGAAACGGTCGATATTTCTAGATCCATTATTAACATTATTGTTCCTCTTGCTGGAAGAACTGAGGCATTTGCACAATTTATGCAAAACTTTAGGTAGGTGCATGAGATTATATAGTGAGCTGTATTGCTGATTTTCAGTGTTTTGTTTCCTTTTCAAACTGAATTCCTGTTCTGGTTGATTTGCAACAAAACTAATGATTCCAACATTGTGTGCAGCTGCCTTGGGATGTTTGTGATTGAGCCTACTGTATGGAGAAAACATTTCCTTCTAAAATGATTCTCAAATTGCAGCAAAACAAACTCCTTTTAGACCAAGTGCCAGGGTCATTGTGAACCTGGACACAGGTGATCTTGAACATAATTTTTGTATTTACATCAGTTGTAGAGCGCTTGTTCACAAAATAAGGTATTGGAATGTGACACACAGTATTGGAACCTTCTGATTCAAATGGGAAACATGGGGAAAGAAGAGGGGGAAAAAGTGTTTCCTTGGGGTTTTTTTGAAGCTGTTTGGTGCCTGATTGGAATACTTGAATCTGCGAATACTTCTTAATGCAATAGCTTTTTTAAATACCTGAAGTTTCTGTTGTGTTGCAAGTCGTTATTAATATCATCTTGTCTTTGTGCTTCTAGGGATGTGTGCATTCATCAGGATAAACGTGTTCACCTCACAGTGGTCTATTTTGGACAAGATGGGCTATCGGAAGTACAAAGCATCCTGGAATCCGTAGCTAGGTAAGTGTGTCGATCCAACATCAGTCAATACAAACAGTATTGATTGGCATTTAAAATGGTTTTTAGAAAGAGTGAAAAAATAAAAATAATAAGTTTATACTCCATTACAGGTTACTAGGAAAACTAATCTTTATTTGCACCATGCTATTTTTGGTTGGCATTTTACACTTTGGGTTGCAAGAGTCTCCTGAAGACTACTAAAAATCAAGTTATAGGCCAGAAAAGACTATGAGGTTTCTATCTGACAGTCCAGAAAACAAGAGGGGTGCTTTTTGTAGTGGATATTCAGTCATGCTAACAGATTGATCAGAATCTATGTTCTTTGGAACTGGGATATACTTTTCAATAGTTATTTCACTGGAGGAACAATTTTTGTTGTGGATTAGGGAAAGAAATGTAGTCTAAGTAGGCCTACACTTACCCTGTGCTGTAAACAGATTTTAAGCACGGTTTCATCGTGGCTGTCTCAGTGAATTATGTAAGAGTGTCTGTAACCCTGTAGCCAAGGGGCTTCTTTGCTACCTGAGCTCTTGTGCTCATCCCTGAGCTGGAAGCCTGTTACCCTTTTTAGCCAAAAATAAGCTGAGCTCTCATTTAAACCCTGTCTCCCAGTGCTGGCCAGGGCTCTGCTCGATGACATATACTTAGGCTATTGTGTCACCAGCTTTTAACATGAGGCAGCCAGTTGGCCTGGTGTGCACAGGTGTCTTCTAGGAAGAGAGAAGAGTTTCTGCCTTTCTCCTGCAAAGCCTCCCTGGCCCCTAGCTTGCCATGTGCTGGACCCCTTCATCTCTGAGGCTGCTCTGCTACCTGCCCTGCTCCCTGTTACATGTGCCCCTCAGAGCACTGAGTCAGATACAGTGCTGCAAACTCACTGGGCATTTATCTAGATCTGTATCTTCTCAGTGGTGCTACTCTTGAGTATCTTCACTCTGTTCTCTTCAAGCATTGCCCTCTGAAGTAGACACTTAACTTTGCTTGAAGATGTTCCTGGGTGTATTTCCAATTTCCTTTTGCAGCTCCTTCCCTCTTCTGCTGTGACTTACAGGCATGTGTGCTACTGGTATGAAACAGTGAGGAGAAGCAAACTGACTGCGCTATGGTGGCATCGCCACATAGGTGGCCTTGGCCTCTTGAGTTTGGAGGTGTCAGGACTCTGGCTTTGTGTTTGTCTTCCTGTATGAACTGGTGGACAGAGATATTGCTCTTTTAGTCGGGACTTCTTAGTTTGTGGGGAAAAATTTTAGATGACATTGTAATTCTAGAGAGCAGTTTAATTCATGTCAGTTGCCTTTTAATCTGTCTGAATGAATAAATGTGAAGTTATGAAGTAAGACTGAGGTCTATCTTTTTACAATGTCTGAACTTAAAATAGACAACTAAGTGGAACACATACTTTCTCATTCTGAGGATATAACTGTTTGTTGGTGGTTTTTTCTTTGTATTTCCAGAACGAAATTACTGTAAAATGCTGAAAAAGTATAAATAGTCCCTCTGCCCCTCCCCATGGATTTATTTTGGGTTTGGCTCTGTTTTTCTTGTAGAGAAACTGACTTCCACAATTACACGCTTGTCTCTCTGAATGAGGAATTTAACAGAGGCCGAGGACTTGACATGGGTGCCAGAGCCTGGGAAAAGGGCGAAGTCCTGATGTTCTTCTGTGATGTTGATGTTTATTTCACAGCTGAGTTCCTCAACAGTTGTCGCTTAAATGCCGAGCCCGGTATGTTCCCTTACTGTTGCTGTAGTGGAGTCTTGTCACCTTGTTTGACTTAACTGATCTGTGTTGAGCATATGGAAAACTACCTTGAGTTGTGGAGCTTACATAATACCACACACCTTGGAAAATGAAACACGCTCTGTGCACAAAAGGCAATAGTATTTAGGCTGAGAAATAACTTGTGCCTTAGGATGGCTTGTTTTAAGAACACGTGGTCTTTTTTGTACAACATTTACAATTTCCACATTTTCTTAAGATTTCGTTGTCTAAAAGGAAGCTAGACAGTTTAATTGTTTTAATGATTACACTGCATGTAAATTTGTGTAACAAAACTCAGTGTAATGCTCTACAGTGGAAGATAATTTTTGTTGTACTGAAATATCTTTGTTTTATGTCTTCTTGCATTGTGTATGGCCAAGGCACATCACATATGAATAGTTTTCAGTACAGCTACAATGTGCTCCTTACAGAGAGTGAGCTAATGTTCCACATTTACATCCCAAGCTCTGAAATTGTCTGACTATTTTTCACAAGTTTGTATGAGGCTTGCTTGTTTTACAGACTTGTGCTTTCTTGAATTAACAAGCATGCTACTTAAGACTTTCTCCTGTCAAATATGTGTTTGGGTTCTTTTTTAATGCTTACTTTTATTCTAGACTTGTTGCAGCCAGAAACCATTTTCTCCAAATGCCAGTTTGGAATGAATAGATACTTTTTATTCACATAATAAACAAGCAAGAAAATCCTCTATAAGCCAGATATTTGGATTCTGTTTCTTGCTTTTTCTTTCAATTCTGTCTCTGCTCTTTCATGAAACAAATTGTATAAATACATGGAAAATTTTGGATAGGAGCATCTCATGAGCTTTAACAAAGAAGGGAGTTCTAGAGACTGCTTAACAATTCATACTGGCAGTTTTTGACCTTTGCTTCAAGTGAGATCTGAAAATGCTTTTCATACATTCAGAGTTCATGCTGAGATCAGAGTACTGAATATTCCTGTGGACTGTTGTCAATACCTTTGCACTGGCGATGCAAGATGTTTGTGATAAATATTTATCTGGCTTCTGTAATAGACATAGAACTGGTGGTATCAGCATAATCAGGATGCTTATGATGCTCACTGCCCTTGCAGGATGTCCTGGATATACCTGCTTTTACATGTTTGTGGAAACAGGCAAACTCATAAAACTTCAGCAATGCAAGGTGTTACTTAAACTTGGTTATCTTTTAGTTTTACTGCATACTGTTATTGCAGGTAGTTTTCATTGTCATCTGATGTGGTGCTGAGATGTATAATATTTTTTGTGTATACAAGTATGTATAACTATATGTTAGTATAGACCAATAGTGTATATATAAATATGTGTACATATATTTTTTGAATCCTTGCCCCAGTAGATGTTATGGGCTGCCTAAGTGGGAAATCCTAGCAGCTAGTCCTTGTGTTTGTTTTCACTAGATGGCTAATAGGTAATATTTTAGATAAAAAGAACGTCTCTAGTTTCCTCTTGCCTTCAGAATGCATGCCCGCAGTGAGTAACAACTACCTTTTGACTTACAGGGAAAAAGGTTTTTTATCCTGTAGTATTCAGCCTTTACAATCCTGCTATTGTCTATGCCAACCAAGATCTACCACCCCCTGTGGAGCAGCAATTGGTAAGCAGCGTGATTTAATCTGGGTAGAATTAGGTGTGCTTTGTATTAAAACAAAATTAAGTGTAACTTAATAGTTTGTTTGGGATATCTTATGACCTTTGGCAGTGCATATCTAAACACCATTCTCCATTATGGGCAAAGCACTTGGAAGAGAAGCTTATCAAACGGTACAAAATTCAGATAAACTTGGAGTTCTGCCTAGTTTAAAAAAAAAAAATTGCTATTAATCAAATGTAGTTGGTAGTGCTGATCTGTTGCTTATGATCTGTTACTTGTTCTGGCTTGGAAAGCCAGTATTTTAGGAGGATGGTGGCATGACATGGCAGCAACTTTCTTGTGTTCCAGCAAACAAAGAATTGGTGAAACGCAAAAAACTTCTGAATGATAAGATTTCCTCAGTATTGATTCTCTTTGCCAGCTAACAAATGGTAGTTGCAAGAAGTGTGCAATGTAGCTTGAGGTGGGCTGAGATGTTCAGTCAGTTGCTTTTTCTTGTTCTGGACAGCTGTATTCTATGCAAATGTTTCTTTACCTTTATCTGATCCAACATCTGTTATATTGCCAATTTATCTTGCTTTTGAAATGAGACACTGCTTCTAGGGAAGCTTGTAGTCAAGATAATAAACAAACCTTGCAAACATTCAAGAAAATAGGTTTAAGAATAACTTTGGGCTCAGCAGAAAGAAGGAATTACTGTATTTCTGGGTCTTTTTTTTCCTTGAAGATGGAATGGCAGTGGTCAGTGTCCAGCCTGACTCTCTTTGAAGAGACTGCTTAGATGAAATTGGGTTTTGCAGCTGAGACTTCTGAGAGGGACTGGTTTGGAGGGAAAGGAGAGAGTGTTACAGAGGACAGCTGTATTAAAAGAAAAACATAATAATAATAATCGTTCCCTATGTTGTTTGGAAGGATCCCACAGAAAGTTGGAGGGGAAGCTTTTGCATATGGCCTCAGGTAGTCACAGCTGAGAGAGGAGTGAGCCTCTGCCTGACAGCTCTGCTGTTCACTTTTTTGAACTGAACAATCTTATGGTTGCTGACTTCAATCACAAAGCTTACTTTTCTGGTCATATCAGATCAAGAAGAGAAAAATGTGGCCTTAGAAAACAGGGAGGAATTGGGGTATTGGGAACAGATGGTTTAGCAATAGACTATCTGTAATTTACTGCTTGGTCTGGGCAGATACATAGAAAATAGAGGTGGTGTGGCAGAAAGTTAAACATGGAAACTGCAGTGAGGATAAATATTTGGAATTGGAAGGCAAAGGGTGAAGTGATCAGCAGGTCATTAGGAAGCCCACATCAGTGCATGACTAGAAGTGCTATTATGCTCTATCCTGCACTGAGCAAATGACTGGAAGAGCTAAGGTTTTTACAAAACCAAGTGCAATGTACCTCCTTCGATGTATTTTACATTTCAAAATTGTACTGTTTTAAAATTGCAGGTACACAAGAAGGATTCTGGTTTCTGGCGAGATTTTGGCTTTGGGATGACTTGTCAGTATCGGACGGACTTTCTGACTGTTGGTAAGATGAAACTGTAAAGAAAAACATTGTGTGTTTAAAAATTGATTCTCTGGTCTTATCTAATGACAGGAAAGTAATGCATTTATTCCTTGTATTATTTTCCCAAGCCCAGCAGTCAGACTTGCTTGATAAGTTTGACCAATGAGATTAAATTTGGTTTTGTAGATTTGGTTGTCCCATCTGATGAGTGTTTTGTTAAAAGTCATGACAGTTTTAGTAGAAACATTTCACTCTAGAACTTCTAAAAATATTGCTTTTTTTGGTGCGTTGTGTCTCTCTGAAGCAAATTAATCAAGTTTAAGAAACATAAGTAAACCACTAACATAAGCAAGAAGCATTCAAATTCTTTCTTTAAACAACCTTGAGCAGTTGAATACAGTTGTTCGAGGCTTTAGCAGTGTGCTTTGGCCCCCCTCTTGTGGCATGCTTTTAAAACTGAGAACAGCCTGGTGTGCTTAAATGTGGAAGACTGTCTTGAAGATAGTCTGCTAGAAGATGTAATGATATAGCCCTACGTGCTGTACAATGGCTTGGATACAGACTGATTCCTAGTAGCAGTCATACTGTCACCTGTATGGTATATGCCAAACAAAGACATGATAATTCTGGAGTTTTGAGATTGTACAAGAGCTGGGTCAATCTTCACTGTGGTCCTAGAGAAGCAAGAGAACTTAAAATGTTGAAACATGTTCCTTTCCTTATTCTAGCTTTTTCAGTTGTGACCTATGGAGTAATTGATGGTATTTTTAGAGAGGACTTCTCATATGGTGCATAACAGCTTCATTTTCCAGCTGCTAAAATCCATTATGCTTCCTAAATATAACCCAAAAGCATAGCCAGTGATGTTTGCCTACAGTTTTCTGCAGCTGTCACACGGGATGTCATGCATAATGCAATTTGGAGACACTGTTCTAAGAGAGTTTCTGAAGTCACCAGATCTGTGTCCTGGGCAGTTTCTACCACCAAGGATGTGGTATTCTTGAAGCTCCTCTCCCTCAGATTGGCATGCTTTGGCATAGAAAACTTAGCTAATTGCTCCAGAATTTCTGGTATGTTGTACCAGATCTAGTAACGCTACACACGAAGTGTTGTTCTTTTTGCCTTACGTCGAACCTGTGCACCCCAATAACGTTTTCTGATATTGTTTTTATAGGGGGTTTTGACTTGGAAGTGAAAGGCTGGGGCGGTGAGGATGTTCACCTTTACAGAAAGTACTTGCATGGTGACCTCATTGTGATCAGGACGCCAGTCCCTGGTCTCTTTCACCTCTGGCACGAGAAACATTGTGCAGACGAGCTCACTCCGGAGCAGTATCGCATGTGCATCCAGTCCAAAGCCATGAACGAGGCCTCTCACTCGCACCTTGGGATGCTGGTTTTCAGGGAGGAGATCGAGACTCACCTCCGTAAGCAGGCTTACAGGACTAACAGTGAAGCAGTGGGTTAAATGTCACCCCTGTGACATTTGATGACTTCAAATTCACAGTGAACCAGCATCATTTTACAGCCTTAATTCAGCTTACAAATGCAGTGCCTCTCTTTTTCAGTGAAGAAGAGTTTAAAGGGTTTTTGTTTTCCAAGTAATTCTTTGACTGTTACGCTGTTACCTACATTTCTTGCAAGTTCAAGCACCTCAGATGAATTGGAAAGTATATGTAGTTCAAGGAAAGTGTCTTCAGTATCAATTGGAAGAATCTGTAGAATGTACAATTCAACACTTTTCCATGTGGTACATTTCAGTTCTTATATTTGCATTATTTTAAGAATTAAATAATCTTTTGTGTCTTGAGTATTTTCAGTCTGTATGGCTCACTGCACTGTGACTTCAGAAGGATACTGTACTTGTACTCCATTATAGAAACAAGAGAAAGGTGTGGAAAATAATCTCACCATGAAAGGTACATGGACATGCTGACCGGTACACCAGCTGTTCGGGGGCGGATTTCACAGCAAGGGCTTGGTGCTGCATTTGCTGTTATTAACAGACATTGACATGGCTGAATACAGAATAATTCGGGGGAGTGGGGAATGAAAATCCTTTTAAGTGGAATTTTAGAGCATATAATGTAAGTTCACACTGCAAAGGAGACACCACCTTCTTAACTCTGTGATGGATCAGAAGAGTTGGGAATGTTCCAGTTGCAAGTTTCTGGGTCTGGTCTTTTCCCACAGTAGATGCCACATCACAGAATCCCTTCTCTAAACTGAGCTATGCTATTAAACTTGTTTGTTTAAATATTTTCGGCCCCACTCCTCCTTATTCAAAGGCCCTGCCTGTGTGTCTCATCCTTTAAGTTGAGGAACCATCTTTTCATTCCCATACAAATTTATTAGAGGCCTGTTTGCTATTATGCCAATATTATTTTTGCATTCTCTTTTGGGCATTTTCATGTCATGCTTTTGTAAGGCAGTCATATACTCTTAGTTGTTTCAGTGACTGAAAAAGCAAGTGCTATTACAGTCTTTCTTTATACAATGCTCTCCATTCCGCTCATTATACTAGTAGCCTTATTCCTCATTTTTTCAGTTGGAGGATGTTTTAGGGAGTTGGGGATTCTTTTCCTTTTTTTTTTTTTTTATTTGCTTGGTTGGTTTTTTTGAGCATGCATAAGCGGAATTATGTTGTGGTCTCATTAGTGCCTTGTACAACGGCACTACTACTTTGCTACTTCCCTTTTGGGTATTTTGGGATGCATAAACATGCAGTCACGTCATTTCTCTCATGTTGTCTTATATGATGTCATATGGCATGCCTCATTTTTAATACATTTGTTTATGGAATGAATGCTGAGAATGCTAATTCAGTGGTTAAACCATTTGTGTGGTCTCCACTGAATTTAGGTATTAGTTGAAAACCCTTCTCAAACCAGGTAATTAAGATCTGTTTATGAATTTGGTTTGCTCAAGAATTTTGAAGGCAACTAAAGATTTAAATGGTTGATTTCTGAATAGCAGATATGCTGTGCGAATAGTTCTGGGCACTGATCCTTTTTATATGTACATAAAATTTGCCTTTATGTAACTTATTGTGGAGAACAAGTGTACTGTATTGTACTTAAAGTGAAGAGAATGCATTGCAAGACTTCTTGCAGTTGATATTCTCAACATAATAAATGGAATTTCTGCATTTTAGAAATTGTTTTAAGCTGTTTCTTTGAAATAAGTTTTTACAATAATATTTTACAAGGCTGTTAACACACTGGATTCAAATAATAATATTTGCAGTGAGAAGTTCAGCCAGCTCAATTTTGCATCTCAAGTCATCTACCCAGACCAGATATGCAAGTGCAGACTTTGTTCCTCAGACAACTTAAACTTATAACAGATGTTATCTTACTTCGATATCTGGATGGTTACAAAAATTATAAGGTACCAGTAAGGAAAAGATTAAATACATTTGTAATATGACTTGAGGTAAAGATACAGATGGGGCATTCTCCTGAGATTCCAGCCTCTCCTGAGATTTCAGCTGCTACTGCTGTCCTGGCTCTGCTGCACAAGAACAAGCATCAAAAAATGCCTCTCACCGACCCCAGCACAGTTGACATGCACTGAAATGGATATTGAGGCAGTGCACAGCGTTGCTGCACCTCAGCTCTTGGCACTCAGATGCTACTTCAGAAGGCTCCAGTTGTTCCAATTCTCATGTTTTGGAAACAGCAGACTGCTGATGCTGATAGCCAGATCTCTCATGTTTTCCATTGGGTGGTTGGGCTTATCAGCAACCGGGAGGGAGAACAGTGTCAGTTGTCCACATCTGTGTGATCAAAAACGGTCTGTGGTGTTGATGCTGGAAGGCAGTTGAGCAGGTCTGGAGCTGAGTGTAGTCATAGGAACCACTTTTGGAAACTTTTTTCCGTTCATCATCCCAAAAGGTGGAAGCAAATGCATTGGAGTTAAAAGGAAGTCAGAACTCCTGGAAATAGTTAAATGTGAGGGTTGAGTATGACACGAGTATTCTGAATGGCTCATTATTTGAGCTCTCCTGAACTTTCAGGAGCCCCAGCAGGCCTGGGGGTTCCCTTGTCTTAGTTCAGGACCCTGCAACATCCACCTGTGTGAGAAGATGTTGCTGTGGCACCCATTATTTAGGTAGCTTGTTAGAAGCACAGGCAACCATCACCTACTGCAGTCATTCCAAAAGGTATTGCTATGAGCTGTGTGCTCTGTTAAGTCAATGAGAGGTACTTGCAGCCCAATGGTAGTAACAAGAACAACTATAATTTTAAGGTTGGAATCTCCTCGGATGCATTTTGCTTCTGTAAAAGTGCCTCACTGCATGCACACCTGCAGGGAAGATGGTTTTACTACTAACAATCAATCTGTAGAACGTTTACTGCAGGAAAATACTCTGCTCTAATTAGTGCTTTACATGTTCTTCGGTGGCTTATTAGCAACTCTGACTTTAGAAATTAAATCAGTTACTTAAAATTCATGATTTAAAATTTGCACTTCCAGGGAATTATTACTAATCATGTACAGTTCATGTTCCCTAATGACTTGCCATTTTACCTACTCATATATCTCTAAATTATTATATTAGATTAACAATTGTAAATAACTACCTTAAACTTAGAGATTTAAATCTTAAAATTAAGGGTTTTAAAAAAAATTATGATTCTCAAGTATTTTGACTGTTGGGCTCGGCTATAGGCTTTGATTATTTAGTTAAAAAAAAGATACTAAATTCTTACTTTGGATAATGATTATCCTCAGTGAATTAATAAGTGTTTTTCAAAATAAGATGCAATGTTCTCATGTAAGCAAAACCTTTACTGAATTAACTGATCAATATTACACGGATGGATTGTTTTATCTGTTTTAACAGTGATTCTCCAGTAGAGGACAAGATGCTTTATTATATCCCTACTAATCCCAAAATAGGTAGACACAAGGTTGAGACCTATGGAGAGGAAGATTCTGTTCAGTGTACTGCTTCAGAAGTTACTCACATTTATACAAAATATCTGCTTTCCTGGTTCTGTTCTGCTTATTTTGCAGTTGTAATCAGTTACTGCTGCATTACCCCAAGCTAACTGATCAAGTGTCTTCTCTTCTCTATGGCTATGGATGACAGTGACAATTTAATTATGCCCCCGAGCTGTTAACAGAAAACTGAGTTGGTGACCAGCACCGGTCAGAAAAATGTATGAATCTGGGGAGGTGTTTGTTTCACCCAAGTCCTTAGCATACCTAGAAATTACATGTACTGTATAGATATATCCTGAAAACTTACATGGCTTTTCACTTCTTTAAATCTGACCTCATATTGCTTGTACTGTTTCATTCACTATGTGCTACCTTTCTTATTAACCCGGTCTATTTTTCCTTTGGGATGGCTCCTCTCTAATTTCTTCCAACTCTGTGCCTTAAAACTTTCAACCTTTTATAAACTCCATCCCTGGCTCTCTGGGGATGTGGGAGCCACTCAGGGTCCCAGCTGACAGAGCTGCTGGTCGGTGATGCCTGGCAAGGGAATGCCCAGTGGCTGAACCCTGTGAGCAGGACAGAGGCTGCTGGGCAGTGCAGGAGCTGCTCTGCCATTTACCTGTTCTGAGAACTGGCTTTAAACCACACAACACTGTTTATGAATTCTGTGCTATGGATTAGGCTTTTTTCTTATTTCTGTGTTTGTCATAAAATAAAATTACATAAAACCAGTAAACTTACGGCAACATGAAGTTCATGACAAAGAGCAGTGATTTAAGACCCTTACCCACACCTTTCAGTGCACACCATTGCTTTTGCTCTGTAACAACTAGAACAGAAATAGGGGGATATGCCTTTATTATAAAGTGAGTTTATAAGTGATTTGTTACCTGAGTGAATTCGGTGTGTTGCTTTATGCATAAGTTTGGTTGAAAGATGTTAGCCAAGTGTGTCTCGAGCTGGCTGGGGGCTGCAGAAATAAAATCCTTACTGCATGGATCTGCAGCCCCTGTGGAGAGTGCAGATGGTGGGAATGGGGTGGTGCAAGGCTGCAGACAGCATCACTGTGCTCCCTGCTGGTGGGAAGATCCCAGCAGCCAGTGTGTGCCATGGGAGCTGCTGGCTGCTCGGCCAATAGAGCCTTGGGCTGAGTTTGCTGTCTACTTTAGCAACCAACACAGAATTGAATTAATTGAGGGAGAAGATAAGCCTCAGGAGTGTCTCCTCCCACAAAACAAGTTCAGTAACTTAATTATCAGTGCCTCAGTGTGGATACTGAGTTCATGGTACTGCTGCTCAGCTCCAGCCTGAGCTGGTGCGAACAGAAAACAAAAACCTTGGTCAAGGCCCTTTGGTTGGAGGCACAGGCAATTCCTAGAGAAAGGAGGAACATCAAGGGTTTGAGTGGTGCACTTGGGTTGTCAACAGCTCTGACCTGCACAGCTCCAGGATGTCAGAAATGGGTGTTTGCCATGCAGGCACCATCACTGGCTCAGCAGAGAAGACCTGGTCTTGGCTTTCCCAAGGTGTGCTCTGCCTGCAGATGGAGGATAAATCCCATGCTGTGCAGCTTGGGATGCTGCTGCTGGGGCACTGCAAAGGAAAATGACAATGTCAGGCTTTGGAGCCAATTGATTGTGCACCCAGGGTCGTCATTTGGGTGACGTGTCTGGGTTTTGGGACAGCCTTGTGTTTTGACAGATGCTGTTTATATAACGCACTTTTTTTTAAAGCTGTGGTCCAAGTGTAAAAAGCCAATTGTGTTTTCCCGGAGGAGTCAACTGCATTTTAGTGCTAGAGTATTAAATATAGTAACAGTTGTTTAAATAGGAACATGCTCCACTGAATCGAAAAGTAATTTCTTTTTTTTTTCCTGTTCTATGCTATCCACATAAAGTGTAACCTTTTCCAGGGAATTTACAATATATAAATTCCCCAGAGGGAAGGGGAGGTGTTCTTTAAGGGAAGACAAGATAAGATGAGCTCAGGGTATGGTTTTATTTTAGACCCTTTACAGGAAAGATAGCGGGTTGTGTTTTTTAATTTGTTTAAAAATGTTATTCAGTGAGAGTAGATACTGTTTTGGAGAATCAGAAAATAGAGATGAAAAAGTTGAAAAACCTTAGGGAAATACTTAGTTCTGGGTCTGCTGCATCCAGAAGAAAATACTTACTGGCTTTTTTTATTTTCATAAAAGACTGAGATACACACACCTATGAAAATCAAAACTTCTTTGTAAACTGTGTTTAAGACTGGAGAACTGCATGAGGAGGGAAAGAGAAGTACTAGGTTAGCCCTAACCACTTGTATCGGAATGCAGACGTGTATTTAAAGTGAAGGTTTTAGTGCAGGCCAAAATAAAATTAATCAGCTAGAATAAAATTATTCAGCTTTTTGCTTTGTCAGATCAGCAAATAAAAGCCTTTAAAAATGGTGATTCAGCATAAGTTAGTAACTCATTGATGCATCAGTGTAATGATAAAAGTTTTCTGTGTAACCAAGGTGGATGTAGCTTTCATTTGCCTGAGGTGCTCTTGCTCTGTGTGTGACCCCCAAATTCATGTTCAGGAGATTAGTCATTGAAATTTTACTCAGCTGTGAAGGAAAACGAGGAACATCCCGTTATGCCTAAACTTAAGCAGTGTTTGGTTCGTGCCCCCACAACGCAGCTTCCCCTTGTCAGGCCTAACTGATTGCAATCTAAAACCTCTGTCTTCACTGAAAAAGCTTTACAGGAAAGGAGACTATGATATAATGCTGGGTTTTTTTATATTTCTGTGGTTGCATGGGCTCTGCACACCTCTGCTTTTGTTGGTATAGTATCAGTTTTTCTGAATGCCTGGCACTGAGAAGTGTGTTTGGGCTGCCTGACTGTTGCAATCAGCAGGGCAGCTGAACGGGACACACCTGGGAGGGCTGGTGCAAGCACCCCCTACACACCCAGTGCCCCTCTGCTGACTGGCTTTCCATGGCCCGGGATTCCAGGTGTTGTGAATTTTGGCATCGTGATTGCCTTCAGGCCCGGGTGAGTTTGCACCAGCTGGAGATGGGTCCACACCTCCTTTTGGGAGGTGAAGAGCTGTGCTACACGGAGCAGTTGAGATCTGGTTGGGCTTCAGACCAGTCCTAGAGGTGCTGTGCTTACAGTAACCATGGTGGCTGTGGGATTAATTAGCCCTGTGGAATAACTGGTTCCTCTCATTTGGT